CTCTCTCTCTCTCTCTCTCTCTCTCTCTCTCTCTCTCTCTCTCTCTCTCTCTCTCTCTCCCCGCGAACGCTTTCGAACGGCAACCCCGACGAACGGTCCCATACGGCAAGTTCCCCCGACCACGCACGACGAACGGTTCAAACGACTCTCTCTCTCTCTCTCTCTCTCTCTCTCTCTCTCTCTCTCTCTCTCTCTCCCCGAACGCTTTCGAACGGCTTTCGAATGGCGACCGTGCACGTCGAGGAAAGGCGGCGCGCGTTTCGATCGGTTTCGAACGGCGACCCGGGCCCGCCTCCCAAACCCACCGGACCGTCAAAGGAAAAGGTGGCGCGCCCCTGACGAAAAGCCGGTTTCACCCGGGCCCGCCTGCTGTACCCGCCCCCTGTCCCAACACTGGCAGTTCGAGCGGACGTGGGACCGTCACGCAAGGACCGCTATTTGCTTAAAGGTAAGGGAAAAATGGGGGACAGCCTCGATATCATAAATTCATTATTGAACTGACTGGGGCAGGTAATTCCGAATTATTTTATTCTATTCATCTCATTTCATCTGGACTCGAACACGGGTCTGTATTTCAACAGTTCATTGGGTGTACCAACTGAGCTAGGCCCATTGGGGTATTTCCGCACTACCCCCCCTCTCCTTCTTCTCCCTCTTCTTCTTTGTGTTGCGATTCATCTACCTCACAAACTTTTTGCATCACACACAAATGGCGAAGCATCGAAGCTCGACAACAGTGTGCAGCCACTAACCCACACCAACAGAGAGAGAGAGGGAGACAGACACACACGCACACACACACGCACACACACACACACACACACACACACACAGAGTTACATGCCCAGTTGGGTGATGTACATATAAACTGAGGATACGCAATGTGATAAAAAGGAGTGAATGGACAATGCAGTGCAAGTGTAATCTCAACAAGCAATGTGCATTCCGATACATACAAAAATGGTGCTTTATAGCGCAGGAAAGACTTTAGATACAAGTCCTGACCTGACCGAGACTGACCTCTTTCACGTAGTACAAGATAGCGAAGCAGAATGCTAGAATACTAAGGAGTAGCCCAATCAATGTTTCAATGCAGACTGAACATACATCATTACCATCACAAGGTGTGAAGAGACCTGGCGCTGTACACAGGAAGATGGCGCTAGGCCCTGATCATGCACAAACGAAGAGGAGGGGAACAGACGAAGAGGAGGGGGAGAGATAGGAATGTTGTCAACACCAAGTCCTTGTCACAAGTCCCAAATAATCCCTCGTCAAAATGTCTGAAGCCCAAAAGTCGAGTCTGGATCCAATGTCACCAAGCTCTCTCTCTCTTTCTCTCGTAGTCTGCTGATGCAGTGAAGTCAGATAGTGAGAGGGTGAGAGGGAGATGGTGGACTGAGAAGAGGAAGAAGAAGAACTCTCTCTCTCTCTCGTATGCCAGGTACTAACCTGTGAAGATGGGTCTGTGCTGCCGATACCTCCAAGACGAAGCTAGAGCAACGGCGCTGCAGGTAAGTATCCCTGGCCTCCGCCCAATCTCTCTCTCGCTAGTACTACTCTAGCTATGGAGCCCAGCGCTGAAGACTACAGCTAGCGCTACTAGCGCCCAGCGCTGAAGACTACAGTTAACGCTACTAGCGCCCAGCGCTGAAGACTAATGCTAACGCTACTACTACTCCTGCAGCGCTCCTCCAGAGTGCTGCTGCCAAATCCTGAAGACTACTGATTGCCTCCTGCCTGCACGTGAAGTGCCTGGGAAGTACCTAGGAGCTACCTCCCAACTACCTGCAGCCTGCAGGGCGGGCCAGTCTTATATAGTGCTGGCCCGTCCAGGAGGCTGTCTTGCCAATGCCAAAACGTGTCAGACCCTGGGGTTGAAGCTCAAACAAAGGTTGTCTTGAAAATAGGCCAAAAATGGCCTGAGCTAAAACCCTGGTCTGGTGCCTGAGTTTCAGGGCAGGTTGAACTGACGAGGGCCTGAAAATGGCAATCAGTTTCAGGCTGAAAATACTCAGGGCCGGAAAGGCCCTGATTTAGCCTGAAACAACACAGGGCCTGTAGGCCCTTGTTTTCAGGCTTTCAGGCTGAAACAACACGGGGCCTGTAGGCCCTTGTTTTCAGGCTTTCAGGCTGAAAACAACACAGGCCTGAAAATGGCCCGTGCAGCCTGTTGCAAGCGCAGCATGTAACACAGAGAGAGAGAGAGAGAGAGAGAGAGAGAGAGAGAGAGAGAGAGAGAGAGAGAGAGACAGAGAGAGGGAGAGAGAGAGAGAGAGAGAGAGACAGAGA